AGTTGCTCCCTTGAGCTTTGTTTGGTATTGATATGATTTTAAAAGAATTAGGTTTTGTAGTGCTGAATAAAGAACCAGGTGCAGGAAGAGCAAATTAAGTGTTTAGATACTCTTTTAAGAAATATATTGTATGTTTTAAATCAGTATTTTTGCATTTGATAAATGAAAAACCTATACAGTTGTGCTTGTATACAATGGACATTTATAATAATAATAATAATAATAATAATAATAATAATAATAATAATAATAATAATAATAATAATAATAATAATAATATCGTCGTCGTCATCAGTACTATTTTAAAAATTTATGTTTAGTTTGTTATAACAGTATGTAATATTATTAATATTTTTATAACACAACATATTCACTGGCATTATTTTAAATAAAAGTAATAGTATATATTGAATTTTAAACTTTATAAAATTACAAAATAAAAGCATAGTCTTTATTGTGAAAAATCAAATAAATTTAAATTATTTTCATGCGTTAGATTTGGAATATCAATAAACTTCTAATTGGGTGGTTATATTCACACCGTGTTATTGTATAAAGGCGCTACATTTTAATTTAGTTAAAGGTCCCTAACCTTTATTCATGTCATATTTATGTAACTTTTTATGACACTTCTAGACTTTACATTTAATTAATTAGCAAATTTTGTTCTTAATAATGTTTTTAGTCCAAAAATTCTATTTGCGTGCTGCAAAACGAATAACAAATATTTAATCACAATTTTGTTTTCTTCGTTTTCATTAAAAACTATGAGAGGTCAATAAATCCTTTACTCCTTGACCAATTTTTTGGATTGAAACCATCATCACGGATAAAATATGATAATTAATGAAATGTTGATGATAAGGATTCGATTAAAAAAAAAGTTAGGAACATAAGTATGACGATGAATAAATGTTATGAACATTTCATTTAATTAAATATGGACCACTTATAAGAAAATATGGTAGGTATATATTTAATCACTTTAAATACACATAATTGGAGAAGCTAAAGCAGAATATGATGAGTTATAATTTTTATTGCTTCTCAAATTTTGCTACTAGATAATATAAAATCTTCTACAACTAGTTTTTTATTTTTTCAAAATCTCACCAAACACATAACAATTTCCAATTGTTTGACAATCAAAATTGGTCTTTAAAATCAATCCAAAATGGAACCTAAGAGAAATAGTCCAACCTCTTGTATTGGTTATTTGATTTATTCATTATCAATGTGAAATTTATCTTTATACTTGTTACATGTCATTTTATAGTCGATATTAAGCTTTTAATAAAAAGCACTAAAAAGATAGTATATAGATCTCATCCTTTCTTTTTTGTGGCCTATAATAATCATTGTGACTAAGTGCTTGTTTGATTTTAAAAAAAAAATTATAATCATATATTTAATGAGATCCACATTTTATATTAACTTTTGAATCACATATTTTACCAACTTTTATTAAAACTTTTATCATAAGCTTAGTCAAACAAAACCTAAGCAAGCAAACGTTGTAATACGAGTAAAAAAGGTTTGTTTTTGTGGATGTAATTATTTGTAGTGTTGTGGAAATTAGATTAGTTTAGCTCATCATACAAAGCAATATAAAGGTAAAATTTTTCAAATGAAAATGATTGAAAAGGGATATGGTTTGGAAAGGGGTAAAGAAAAGGGAAAATGATGTTGACTAGGTTAATTATTTCCCTATAAAATGATGCAAAAAGTTAATAATTAGAACATATTATATTTCAAAAGTGACTCTCTCCTACTAAATTTATTAGTATTTCTTTAATGAAGATCGTCGTGTCATCCAAAAACTGATTCTTGACATATCCAAATGTATTTTTATGCGTATGTAAATTAGATCTTTCATACAAGATTGAGAAGTGAAAGGAATGTAGTTCAAAATATCATAAATCTGAAACTGGAAATAAATTTCTTACACTTATGTTTTACAAATATATGATATAGAACCTTAATGACATGTTTTATACATATTTCTTAAGTATTATCCAAAAAAAATTGTTTTGGCTAATCCAAAAAGCTTTTTTTTCATGCTAAGAAGTTCATGCACATCAAATTCATTTTTAATAAATAGATATAATAATTTGAACTTAGTTTGTTTCGAGAAGTTGAATCATCACTTCTAAAAGTTAAAAGCCTAAAGCTTATAAAGATGATATATACATATTTTTTAAACATTATATCAAATATGTCGTCTCATGACCATGTCAGATTCATTTTTTAAATTAAAATATTAACTTATATACAATTTTCATAAATAGATGACAACAAGACTAAATTTTAGAACTTTTGCCCATTCTATAATATAACCTATCTAATTTAAAAGCATAAAGTTCAATAATATGATAAATGTCTATAATTTCAAGCAAATACAAACTTGAAAATATATATATATGTGTGGGCACGTACGTATATTTCGGTTTAATTCTACGTTATAAAATATTCTACATGTTGCAACTAGAATAAACTATCACGCCATTTGGAACCAAACGCATGCATATAATAAAATACGATCGCCAATATTGCAATGTCCATATGTCCTCAAACTTCCAATGATGTTTTTTTTCTTTTTCTTTTCAATTACAACTTTAAGTCTAAATCGAGATTATATTATAAAATGTTTAACATCATCATCGACTGGACATTTGAGTATATCTATGATGCTAGTTTTATTCATGTTTGTTTAAAAGATTAGGAAGTTGATCCTACATCTATTTTATTTATTTGCAAACCACGAAACCTATCTTGTTAGAGATGTATTTTGTCGTAAAAGTAGCAACGGAAAATTAACTCTCCTTATATGACTACTCCTTAGACAATATCCATCTCGAAATTCGATTGCCTTAAAATGTCAAATTACTCATTTGAGCTTGTGGTCTATCTTAAAAAGGTCATTTTGTTATGAAAGTAGCTCAATATATTATATATTAATATTTTTATATATTTTAGTGATGTAAAATTTAGCTTTAACCATCATAAACAATTGAAGGTGTCCATAAAATACAAAAAGAAATCGATATGCAAGTGGAGTATGATCTC